ACTGATTCAGTTTCCCAGCCCCTTGCCCACCAGCATATCCTTAAAAACTCTAGCCTATTAATTATTGGGGAGGCAGATTTGACAAATATCTCTCATTCTCCTCATGCAGCTGCCCTGTGATTACTGAACTGGTTCTCTGCTGCAATACCTGCTGTTCTCAGTGTATTCGTTTTTTTCTGAGCAGCAGGCAAGAAGAACTAGTCAGACTATAACACTCATTCTCATTTTTTTTACTAATTCCTTTTACTATGTTCAAATTCTAAATATTGGTTTACCTTAGAGCTTATCCTAAATTCCTTTTTCTTCTCCATTCTCTATTAATGACCTAATCCAGGACTACAGCTTTCAATATCTTCAAATGCTGATGACTCTCAAGTTACCCATTAATAGGTATATACCCAAAGGATTATAAATCATTCTACTATAAAGGCACATGAATATGTATGTTTATTGCAGCACTATGCACAACCCAAATGCTCATCAATGATAGACTGGATAAAAAAAATGTGGCACATATACACCATGGAATACTATGCAGCCATAAAATACAATGAGTTCATGTCCTTTGCAGGGACATGGACATGGATGAAGCTGGAAACCATTATCTTCAGCAAACTAACATCGGCATAGAAGCCAAACACCACATGTTCTCACTAACTAGTGGGAGTTGAACAATGAGAACATATGGACACAGGGAGGGGAACATCACACACCAGGGCCTGTCAGGGGTGAGTGGCAAGAAGAGGGAGAGCATTAGGACAAATACCTAATGCAGGCAGGACTTAAAATCTAGATGATGGGTTGATAGGTGCTGCAAACCACCATGGCACATGTAGACCTATGTAACAAACCTGCACGTTAAACACATGTATCCCAGAACTTAAAGTAAATTTTTTTAAATCCAATATTTAATAAACACACACACAAACACACATGCACACACAAATTTCTGTCCCTGAAATCTTCAAAATTTTGGATCATATAGCAAATTGGCCACTTATTATCAGCACATTATTGACTAATGGCATCTCAGAGGTTCCAGAAGAAGGAGGAAGCACCCATCTTTGCTGCTCTCCAGCCTCCTTAAGTGACATCTCTGGGCACAGGAGCAAACCAGATAAATAGAACCAGAAGTGAAAACCCAGCAAATTGCAGCAGCCTTACAGAAGAGGGACCAGACTACTGAAAGCAAAACAAAAAAGCAGAAAGCAACAACAACAGCATCAAGAACAAAAAGGCCATGACAAAAACCCAATTCAAGGGTCAGCAGCTTCAAAGACTGAAACTAGACAAACTCATGAAGATAAGAAAGAATTGATGAAAAAGTGTTGAGAACCATAAAGGCTGGAGTGCTTCTTTTCCTCCAAATGATTGCAGTGTCTATCCATCAAGAGCACAGAACTGGACAGAGGACCAGATGGATGAGTTGATAGAAGTAGACTTCTCAATTTCAGAAAGTCTCAGGATACAAAATCAATGTGCGAAAATCACAAGCATTCCTATACACTAACGACAGACAGAGAGCCAAGTTACGAGTGAACTCCCATTCCCAAATGCTACAAAGAGAATAAAATACCTAGGAATACAACTAACAAAGGACGTGAAGGACCTCTTCAAGGAGAACGACAAACCACTGCTCAAGGAAATAAGAGAGGATATAAAAAGATGGAGAAATATTCCATGCTCATGGTTACGAAGAATCAATATCGTGAAAATGGCCATACTGCCCAAAGTAATTTATAGATTCAGTGCTATCCCTATCAAGCTACCACTGACCTTCTTCAAAGAACTGGAAAAAACCACCTTAAACTTCATATGGAACCAAAAGAGAGCCTGCATAGCCAAGACAATCCTAAGCAAAAAGAATAAAGTGGGAGGCATCATGCTATCAGACTTCAAACTATACTACAAGGCTACAGTAATCAAAACAGCATCATACTGGTACCAAAAGAGAGATATAGACCAATGGAACAGAACAGAGGCCCCTAAGTAATGCCACACACCTATAATCATCTGATTTTTGACAAACCTGACAAAAACAAGCAATGGGGAAAGGATTCCCTGTTTAATAAATGGTGTTGGGAAAACTGGCAAACCATGTGCAGAAAGCTAAAACTGGACCTCTTCCTTATACCTTATATAAAAATTAACTCCAGATAAAAGAAACAAGCATAAGACTGAACCAGCAACCAACAGAATGGGAAAAATTTTTTGCAATCTACCCATCCGACAAAGGGCTAATATACAGAATCTATCAAGAACCTAAACAAATTTACAAGGAAACAACAAACAACCCCATCAAAAAGTGAGCAAAGGATGTGAACAAACATTTTTTAAAATAAGACATTTATGTGGCCAACAAACATATGAAAAAATGCTCATCATCCCTGGTCATTAGAGAAATGCAAATCAAACCCACATTGAGATACCATCTCATGCCAGTTAGAATGGCGATTATTAAAAAATCTGGAGACAACAGATGCTGGAGAGGATGTGGAGAAATAGGAATGCTTTTACACTGCTGCTGGGAATATAAATTAGTTCAACCATTGTGGAAAACAGTGTGGTGATTCCTCAAAGATCTAGAAATAGAAATACCATTTGACCCAGCAATCTCATTACTGGGTACATAGCCAAAGGATTATGATTTGTTCTATTATAAAGATGCATGCACATGTATGTTCATTGCGACACTGTTTGCAATAGCAAAGACTTGGGACCAACCCAAATGCCCATCAATGATAGACTGGATAAAGAAAATGTGGCACATATACACCATGGAACACTATTCAGCCATAAAAGAGAATGAGTTCATGTCCTTTGTAGAGACATGGATGAATCTGGAAATGATCATTCTCAGCAAAATGACACAAGAACAGAAAACCAAACGTCACATGTTCTCACTCATAAGTGGGTGTTGAACAATGAGAAAACATGGACACAGGGAGGGGAACATCACACACTGGGGTCTGTTGGGGGGTGGGAGGCTAGGGGAGGGATAGCAGGGAGCGGGGAGATTGGGGAGGGAAAACATTAGGAGAAATACCTAATGTAGGTGATGGGGGGATGGAGGCAGCAAACCACCATGGCATGTGGTATACCTGTGTAACAATCCTGCAAGATCTGCACATATACCCCAGAACTTAAAGTAAAATTAAAAAAAAAACCCCATCATCTCAGCCCAAAAATTATTGAACTCATAAGCAACTTCAGCAAAGTCTCAGAAGAAAATCAATGTGCAAAAATCACATGTATTCCTATACACCAACAATAGACAAGCAGATAGCCAAATCATAAATGAACTCCCATTCACAATTGCTACAAGGAGAATAAAATACATAGGAATACAACTTTCAAGGGATGTGAAGGAACTCTTCAAGGAGAACTATATACCACTGCTCAAGGAAATAAGAGAGGACACAAACAAATGGAAAAACATTCCGTGCTCATGGATAGAAAGAATCAGCATCATGAAAATGGCCATAGTGCCTAAAGTAATTTATAGATTCAATGCTATTCCCATCAAATTATCATTGAGATTCTTCACAGAATTAGAAAAAAACTATTTTAAATTTCATATGGAACCAAAAAAGAGCACGTATAGTCAATACAATTCTAAGCAAAAAGAACAAATCGGAGCCATTATGCTACCTGACTTCAATCATACTACAGGTCTGCAGCAACCAAAACAGCATGGTACTGGTACCAAAACAGACATATAGACCAATGGAACAGAACAGAGATTTTAGAAATAATACTGCACGTCTACAACCATCTGATCTTCAACAAACCTGCCTCTCCACTGCAGTAAATGGTGCTGAGAAAACTGGTTAGCCATATGCAGAAAACTGAAACTGAACTCCTTCCTTACACCTTATACAAAAATTAAGTCAATATGGATTAAAGACTTAAATGTAAAACCCCAAAGCATAAAAACCCTAGAAGAAAACCTAGGCAATACCATTCAGGACATAGGCACAGGCAGACTTCATGACAAAAATTCCAAAAGCAATTGTGACGAATGCCAAAATTGACAAATGGGATCTAATCAAACTAAAGAGCTTCTCAACAGCAAAAGGAACTATCATCAGAGTGAACAGACAACCTACAACATGGGATAAAATGTTTGCAATTTACTCATCTGACAAAGGTCTAATATCCAGAATTTACAAAGAACTTAAACATATTTACAAGAAAAAGAAAACCCTGTCAAAAATTAGGCAAAAGATATGAACAGACACTTCTCAAAAAAGCCATTTACACAATGACGAAACATGAAAAAATGATCAACATCACTGATCATCAAAGAAATGCAAATCAAAAACACAATGAGATACCATCCCACGCCAGTCACAATAGTGATTATTAAAAAGTCAGAAAACAATAGATGCTGGCGAGGCTATGAAGAAACAGGAATGTTTTTAGACTGTTTCTGGGAATATAATTAGATCAACCATTATGGAAGACAGTATGGCAATTTCTCAAGGATCTAGAACCAGAAATATCAGTTGACCCAACAATCTCATCACTGGATTTATACCCAAAGGAATATAAATCATTCTACTATAAAGACACATGCACACATATGTTTATTGTAGCACTATTTACAATAGCAAAGACATAGAAGCAACCCAAATGCCCATCAATGATAGACTGGATAAAGAAAATGTGGTGCATATACACCACGGAATACTATGCAGCCATAGAAAGGAATGAGATCATGTCCTTTGCAGGGGCATGGATGAAGCTGGAAGCCATTATCCTCAGCAAACTAACACAGGAATAGAAAACCAAACACTGAATGCTCTCACTCATAAGTAAGAGTTGAACATTGAGAACACATTGATGCAAAGAGGGGAACAACACATATCAGGCCTGTGGGAGGGTTGAGGGGGGTGAGGTATGAGGGAAGGGTACATAGAGGACAGGTCAAGAGGTGCAGCAAACCACCAAGATACATGTATACCTATGTAACAAACCTGCACATTCTGTACATGTATCCCATTTTGTTTTAGAAAAATAAATAACACAAAGATTGTGTTTACCTTTGTGATCCTTATTCCCTTCAAACTGCTCATTTACATCTGTAATAGATTTGATGATAGCCCCTCTTAAAATTAAAGTACAAATATGAGAAGGATTTAGTCTGAGACCATAGTTCAAATCATAAATGGCTCTTTTGGTTTCTTTGCATGAATTCCACACAAGAGCTCTAACACAGTATACATCTTGGAAAACACAAATGTCATCCAAAACAAAGTAGTTAATCTTTAAACTTCAAAGAAATAGAATGAAATCAAACAGGGTTGTGCTAATCATACAGCCATGCAGATTGTGCACTGGAAACCCAGAGGAGCCATTCACATGATCTAAACTTAGACATAACTTTAACCAATCAGTTTTCTGGATTTCAGCGTCCTCAACTGTAAAATAAGAAAGTTGGAAGAGATATCTTCCAGGCTTCTCCAGCTATAGAACTACAGTTCTCTTCTTCGTACATTTACATCTATTACCATTAGCTCTGTTTTTCTTTTCAGTAAACTGCATATACCATTTGATGGAAAGTCGTTAATAATATTAACGCAACATTTTATCAACCTATTTCTGTGAAAGTGAAGTTATTTTTTATAAGGCACATTTTATGGAGATGATGTTCAGAAGCGAATCATCTATAGAACAAGGTTATTGGTTACAAACATTCTTTAACTTACTTAAGTCTTCCTAAACTTCATTTTGCATCCCCCGATACAATTCCTACTGACTTAAAAACTAGTCAAGGAAATATACCATGGCACAGACATACATAAAAATACAGAAGAGTAATTATAATATGTAAAAAATAGCAAGCATACTGATAAATAAAAAAATCATAATAATGCACCATCATTTGTCATTTATTTGCAATTAAAATGCATCAAACCTACCAGGTTCAGATTGTCCAAAGACATTGCTTTGTTAGCATCCTTTATTGTTTCTTTCATCTGTCATAAATCATCATAGAGAATGTCTAGAGTAAGTATATTTTTCCATAGTTTTCCTTTACAATTTATTTACAAAAGTAAACTAGATAATAAATGTATATAATATTCTAATTAATATTCACCTATGTGGCATGTTCAGAGATAGCTGGAATTCACTTAAAAAGTACCACATATTTATAAAGTGAGAATGTGATTTTTAAAATAAAAATGAGCTATCAGGATGATCTAAAAGCAGTTGATGGTAGTAAAAGGCATTTCAACTCAAACTAGACAAGAAGAGTTGGCTTTGGACATAGCTTATATTGGAGATAAAGATCAGCACATATAAAAGGGCAAAAGCAAAAAGAAAGTAGAAGATTAATCTGTAAAACTGGCTTTAATAATTTTTTACTTCTTCAAACTAATAGAAAATTAATAAAATACTTGACGAGGCTTTGACAAATCTTGATAAATTGTCTCCCCCTTGAAAAATATTTTAACTGTTTACATAGATTGTTGGAGATTAAAGTGGAGATTATCAGGGGCTTCTGCTTCCTGCTATTGTATCAGTTACCTGTTGCTGAGTAACAAATTACTATAGCACAAAGACCTGGCCTGAGCTAGGTTCTCATCTGCAAGCTCAACTAGGGAAGGATACATTTCCCTGCTCATGTTTTTATTGGAAGCATTCATTTTCACTTTCTTGTAGCTATAGGATTCATGAAGGCTTACAATTGTTTAAAAATAAAAAGGCAGAGAGAGAGAGATAGTATGCTAGCAAGGCAGACGAACATAACATAATGAAATTATAGAGTGATATTCCATCACCTTTGTCCTATTTTGTTGGTTAGAATCAAGTCAGAGGTTCTGCCTGCACTCAAATGCAGGTGATTACTACAGGGAGGCTCAGTCAGGGTAGAATCTGCTTCCCTGTTTATAAGTAGTTGTTGGCAGCATTCAGCTTCTTGTGTCTACAGAAGGCATGGCAACTTAATTCCTCAAAACCAGCAAGAGGAGACAGGGAGTGAGTCTGCTACCAACATGGAGTATTATAGAATGTAGTATAATCATAGGAGTAATATATCATCACAATTCAATATTCTGTTAATTAGAATGCAGTCACTGTTTTTGCCCATACTTAGTGAGAGAGAATTACATGTGAACGAACACCAGGAGGCAAGTACCATGGGGGTCACCTTGGATCTTTCACCCTTTCCCAAAAGTCACTAATCCACTTCTATTGCTCCCTCACAAGGTATCTTCACACCAAATGAAAGTTTTGGAAATCCCTCAAACATGGTACACACTTTCACATCTCTGAGGCTTTGCACATTCTGTTTCTTCTAGCTGGAATGTCATTTGATCCACTTCTAGTCAATGCGTGTATGTGTTTGTTAAGTTTCTTAATATTCAAGAGCAAAAGCCCGCCCTGCCCTCAACTCAGCTTCCTGTCAAACTACGGGGTTCTACTTCTATCAATAATTACAGATTCTCTCTATTTCAGGTTCTTAGCAGAATATATAAATCTGGCCCATCTGCATCAAGAAAAGCTATCTATGGGAGGTTCCAGGAAATATGACACAAGGTATCTGTTCCTCTAATCATATTTAATTATAGTCTTGACTTAATCTTTAATTCCTGACCTTGAAGGCAGCTCCTACCCCCTTCCCAGCATCTCCCCACCCAAAACTCCACACCTATGAAAACCAGAGTCATCTTTTTGGAGGGTCACATTAACTTAATCTACATTCTACACTATCAGATTAATCACTTACTCACTTAGTTAATGTATCTAGAGTCTTTATCCTCGGCCAGAAGATTGGTATACAGTGATAAACAAGACATAGTCCCTGTTCTGAGTGACTCATAATGCAGTAAGGAGACATATATGAGCAGATAATGGTTATATGTCATGTACCACAGAAAATATTTTAATACAAGGGCATGGAATCAAGCAAAGGCCTCTTGGAATTAAGGAAATGAAAATAGTGGATTGCGTCTAGGTATGAAGTGCATGAGGAAGAGGTGAAAAAATAGAGAAACGAGTTAAAAAGTGGGTGACCACTTACCAATATATTTTTAAAACGATCAACTTTTGGGGAGATACCAGAGAGTCACAGGATCCTCAGAGAGTGATAAAGAGTGCTGTGCTTAAGTGACCCAGATCTATTGACAAGGCTTGGAAGAGTTAGTCCCAGACATGTGAAAAAATTTACCATTAAGCACTAGATGAATTCTAAGATCAGATTACATTATAGCAGCTAACTGTTGAAGTTTGGCATCAGTCACTTAAAGTGTATAGGTGATTTTAAAGACTTTTCAAAGGATATTTATGAGTAGTAATTAGAGATAAATTTTTTAAAATTATAGTTCTGAAGAAAAATCTTTTCCTATTATCTCTATTTACATGCAAGGCCAATGTATAAGAAGCTTGCTAAGTCATAATTTAAGGTATCACTTTTTATTTGGAGAAAAATATATGGATTACAGATGCAATGACTAAGAAGAAACATTCAGGCACTATAGGGCTAACCCTTCAATTTCCAAACACATGAAGATACGCTAAATTTCACAAAACTAAGATCACAGTTTAAATCTGAAATAGTAATGTAAGAAGTAAGCATTAATCATTTTTATATTAAAAGTGTACAATAGGGCAGTAAAGAATCTTTATTCAAATAAAATACTGTACTGTTCATGAAGCAGCATGAAAACCATGACTATGCTAGAAAAGGACTATGTTTTGGGGTCCGGCAAGGAGTTTTTGAATAATAATGTCTGTACTTAATAGCTATGTGATTTTAGACAAGCTACTGAACCACTTTTTAAAAAATGTACTTTTTTCTCCAGTGTTTTTACTGTGGTAAAATATACAGAACAAAATTTACCATCTTAACCACTTTTAAGTGTAGAGTTCAGTGGTATTAATTACATTGATAATGTTATAACAAAAAGAAAAAAAAAGAAAATTGGACTTTATCCCGCAGACAGTAAAGAGTCACCAAAGATTTTTTAATATAAAAGCTAAAAAATATGTATTATCTTCTTGAGATGGAGTCTCCTTCATCACCTATGCTGGAGTGCAGTGGTGTGATCTCAGCTCACTGCATTCTCTGCCTCATAGGTTCAAGTGATTGTCCTGCCTCAGTCTCCCAAGTAGCTGGTATTATAGGCCCACACCACCATACCTGGCTAATTTTTGTACTTTTAGTAGAGATGGAGTTTCACCATGTTAGCCAGGCTGGTTTTGAACTCCTGACCTCAAGTGATCTGTCCACCTTAGCCTCCCAAAGTGCTGAGATTACAGGTGTGAGTCACCACACCCAGGCAAAAGCTAAAAATTTTAAAATATTGTTTGAAAAAATAAGTCTAGAAGAAGCTATCAAAAAGCTAATACAATATTTCAAGTGTAGAAAGAGACTCAACTCAAGAAGCATTTTTTAGAGGTTCAGTTGATAAAAGCCGATAGACAGTCTCTGAATGAAGGAGAGAGAGGAGTCTGGAATAACCTCTAGGTTTTTCTCTTAGGAAAATGCCTAGAAAACAGAAACATGAATCAAGATGGGGAACAGAAAAAGAGATGCAGGCTTAAGACGAAAAGCTCAGAAATGTGGAATCTTCTATAAAATTGAATATAGTTTAAACTCAAGCTATTTGCATTATTCTCCGCTTAACCTACAGAACTGGATGTCTCTCCAAGTTAGGTTTTAGAAAATCTAGGAGGTGAATGATACAAAGTGATTTTTATCTATCTTTCAAGGCAGAAAGCCTTAAAGTATATCTCTCTTGGCACATGTAGCATGGCTTTCCTAAGTGGTGAAAAATCAGTGACCTTTCTTATAAACATGCATTCTGCATTTGAACCTCTGGGTTAAATTGTCTCCCAGGCATGTGAAGAAGCTGTCTCAATGCATTTTTAAAATCCCAGTGCTTTAGTCAGGCTGATTGCTTGTGAATTGTGAATGTATAAAAACATCTGAGTATAGGAAGCATTTGCCATTTCAAAATAATAGGTCTTTGTTAACTATTGCTTGTGTATAGTAAGAGTAAGGTCGTTAATGGCAACTTACTTTCATGGGAGAACAGGTTTGTTAGCTTGAAAATTATCGGCCCAGTTCAAAGAGAAATGATGCAACTTACCACACACTGCATGTGAATATGCCATTCTTGTAAATATTGGTGTGTAAAAGAAGGTTTCATATTTACTGCCAACATTACAGCCATTCTGGAATTAAGGAAATAGTAATAATACACTATCAATTACATTTTCATTGTTAAATAATTATAACAACATTGAAGATTATATATGGAAAGTAAAAATAAAATATCTATAATCCCACTATCTCTAAATAACTTACAAATCTTTTAATATTTCCTTTCAGTCTTCTCTAAATAATTGTATATAGTGACAATAGCCTACATTCTATTTCACATGCTCATTTTTCACCAAGGATTCTAGTTAAGGCACTTCTATGTTGCTATGTGAATTTTATTATCATCATTTCTATCAGTTGCATAATCTTCTACCACGGAGATCCACTCTAATTTACCTAACATGACTTTATTTATTTATTGTTATATTTTTTTCTTCCAATATTTTTTGTGTTCTAGACAATATTGAAATAAACATCTTTCCCAATAAGGGTTTTCCCTTATTTTAGTTTACTTTTAAAAAACAAATTTTTAAAAATTGACTTACTAATTATAATAGTTATTTTAGTTTACCTTTACAAAACAAATTTCTATAAATTGACTAATTATAATGGCATAAGCCTTTTCATGGCTCTTGATTCATATTGCCAAATTGTTTTTCAAGAGGGTTGCATCAATATGTCTTCCCACTTGCAAGATATAAAAATGCCATTTTCATTACATTTTCTAAATCATATCCTGTCATTAAGTGGAAAAATAAGTTATTTTGTCTTAATTTACATTCCATGATTACTAGCAACCAGAAACATTTTTACTATTTCCTCAATAGTTCTACCTTTTATTCTTTGATGAAATTGTATTATTTGCCAATTATATTGGGATACTACTCTTTTTCTTATAACTAAATGTACTCTTTGTATGTAATCTTTAACTCTGATTATATATACTAAAATCTCTGTCTGCTGTTTTCTTAATGGTATGATTTTTAAAATAAATTTAATAATTAACTAGAACTGCTATATATAAAAATTCTTCCCAACAAATCTAACAGTATTTTTATACCATAATGGTATTTGCATAATTGGTTCTTTATTCTAAATCACCACCCTTATTTGTCTTGACAGGACTCTACAAGGTTCCTTCCAGGACTTTAGCTATTCCTTTAGGGCTGACTTATGCCATCATTCCAAATGTGTTTCCTATAACTGCACTCAGTTCTTAAAGACAACATGAAAACCCAAGTGACTAGAAAAGGAGCTGTAACATTAGTTACACATTAATGTACATTAATTCATATCCTTAGAGATTATAATTTGTAAAACACATTCAATAGACACAAAATTATATTGAACAGCAAATATACTCTCAAAACACAAATACATCAAATAGAAACTTTTATAAAAATGAAAAATTGGCATTCATTTTAGGTTCATCCACCAGTGGATGTATTTTCAACATCTGTCCATTTGTACAAGTGTGATCAGTACCCGGAGGAAACAACACCACTGCCAGGCAAAATGAGAAGATCACAGCCCCTAGAATCAGAAAACCTGAATTCACACAGCCCCTAGAATCAGAAAACCTGAATTCAATCTAAGCTTTGCCAATTGGCAGCAACTGAGTGTAACACCATTAAGCCACATCTGTTTTCTCATCTATAAAATAAAACCATAGCATCATGTATGCACAGGGAGCTCTGAATACTTCTCCCACATTCTTGCATTGTCACTATAAGGCAGGAATTACAGCCTTATAGTGACTTACAAGGAGAGCTCCTCTGACCTCATTATTTAAGCAATCATCTCCTCCATATACCACACTTCCTTTCCCTCATATTTGTTGAATAAATAAATAATCTATAGTAACTGCTGCTAACCTAGGTTTCTTATATCATTTTTTAAGCCATTTATAATTTCTTTAAAAAGTGATTTTTATGGGCAAACACGTATTCTCAGTGATAACAGATCTGTTTATTTTTTCATTTAGTATTTCACTGATAAGTGGAAGAACACTTTGGGAAAACTTAAGTAATAGGCTTGAATTCCTCCACACATTTAAAAAAATGCTATTTCTTTTAAGCTAGACTGTCAAATCTACTCTTCCTTGTTTATTGTAAACTGAGACTAAACATTAAAATATTAAGACATCAGATTATGCATTCAGTACAATCTTTAGGCATTATGCTGAGTCTCTGGTGAAATCTCCAAAGCTGGACATCAGTCCAGATTAGCAGGATTCTATAGATTCATTCATTCATTGAAAAAGCCTTCCAGTCCAATTTGTGCATTGTCTTGTGAAAATTTACCAAAATGGGCAACACATTTTGATCTTACAAAGTCAGGTGGGGGAAAGAGGTGTCAAAAATTTTTTTTTCTCATGTGGTCAAGTAGAAAATTTTTTTTCTCATGTGGTCAAGGAAACAGAGAAAGCAAAGTCATTCTTCTAGCTCTCCCACTTATCAGCTGTGTGACTTTTAATAAAATATTTAGTCCCACTAAGCCTAAGTTTCCTTCCACATTTGTAAGTGGCAATAATGTTTGTCTTGTGAGACTGTGAGAATTGAACACAATCAGCATGTGAAGTATCCTGCACAATTACTTACCTAATGGAGAATCTCAATAAATTAGCATCTTCCCTCCATTCCTTTCACATCTAAGATAGTGGTGATGATTTCAGAGAGCTGGGGTTGAATCCTATCTCCCACATGGCCTTGGGCATGTTATATAAGCACTCTGAGCTCCCACTAAATGATTGGTAATCCGTTACTGGGGACAGTGCCAGGCTTCTAGTTTTTTCACTAAGTGAGAGCATTTATGTGCAGTGCTTAGCGTTCAGCTGACACATGCTAAGTGCTCAGAGAGAAAGCTTATTATTAGTTAGTAATAATAACAACTATGTAAGTAAAATGACATTGAAGAACAGCAGAAAGGGCCAATTTCTCCCTAAGTTTATTCTGTTAGACACAAATTTAATGGCAAAGAAAAAGTAAAATTCAGTTTTTATCAAGAGTCTCTTTCATTAATATATTTGAGAGTGTTGTCATAGCTTTAGGAAATCCAGAAGGCACTGTGGGTAGTGGAATTTGTACTTCCTTTACTTTCCATATTTTCAACAATGAGTACATATGATCTCTGCAGTCAGAAAGGGGTTAAAAAAAGAGAAGCACAAAGCAGCAAAAAATATTCAGAAAAAATGGGTTGTGGTACTGCCTGATATAAACAAAGCAATGTGCTGCGTTTTCTAGGCTGGTCTATTTACATGATATATGTACTCATGCACTGCCCCTGGAACCATCCTACCACTTGTACATTTTTGAAAATTCTAAGCAATAGCTCCCAAGTTTACCTTTATTGCAAAAGCAATCCTTGCAATACTTGTTAATTGCTATATGGCTTTCTTGTGGAAATTCAGGTTTTGGAGAGGTGCTGCTGGATGAAAATGAGTCGCATAGAGCTGAAAAACACAAATGGTGTCAAAGTACTTAAGTTTGTTTGTTTTTTTTGGCTTTTAAGTAATACGTTTTGGTTAAGTTTAAACTCTAAAATAGAAGCTTTTTCTACCACTTCAGTAAGGTCGCTGATGAAGTGAGGTAAATTGCCTTGTCTCCCCACAGCCGTGGAGAATAGACCAGTCCAAAGACACAGACTCTGTGATCTCTGAGCACGAGTCTACGATCACACTCTATGTATGGGTCCTTGTATAGGACAGTCCAAACCCTCACTAGTCTAAGTGTTTAGTAGTTTGAAATGGCAGACACATGTTTTTATAATAAACAAATATATAGCTCATAGTTTCCTCTAGAAACGACAACACTTCCTACGACAACACTTCCTACGTATCACCTGGATACGGTGAAATTTTTGGTTAGTCACCTTGCTTTCCTCAACATATTAGATCAAATCTTCTGCCTGATGAATAAAAAGATGCATCAGGAGCCAAAAAGACAGGCAGTATAGGTAGAAAATCACAGATGTGACTCCAGCCTATGCTCTTTTAAACCACAGAAATTTATTCTTAAAATCCCAACCACAGTTATTTTCAATATTTTTCAATGGTACAAGTTAAATGTCACAATTTTAAAGTCTTTAAAGAAAAAAGTATGTATTTTATTCTGACACTACTGATCCTAACTGTGCTCCATTTCATTTAAAATGCATCAAGGCACCAAAATTGTGGGTCCAAACAAATTGGACATGGCTCAGTTTTCTGATTCAACAATTAAGGATTTTAAAAAATATCTTTACTTTGTCTAGTATATCCCTCCATGATGCAGCACTGGATTTGCAAGTTGAGATATATGGAAGTCAGAAGGGAGCGTAAGGTTTTTAGTTAACTGCACCTGCTGTTTCAAAGCCACATTGAGATACATGAGACAGCACGGGCCTGGTTTCAGATCAGACCTCCTGGCCCATCTTAAGAGCCTTCAGTAGTAGAAGTCACTCAACCACTCTGAGATTCAGTTTCTCCATAAATAAAATGAAATGAACCAGGATGAACTCTTGAAGTCCTTGTCATTTTTGACATTCTGTGGTTCTCTGACTTTGCCAGTACCTAAGTTCTGGCCAGATTTCTGGGATTTGGCCCAGGCATATTTGGATAAGAAATAATAATTTATTCCTTCTATCTACCAAAAACAAATAATAAAGCATCAGAAATGAAAAAATATGTAAACAAGAGAAAATAGACTGTAGTACTATCTCCGGTTATTTATATTTAATATTTGTAACAGTTTGTGGTGGAGGGTGTCAATACCACCTTTCTCCAAAATTGATTTCTTCTTGCTCATCACCCTTGTCCATTTCTCTAAAGGACACAATCCTCTTTGCTTTATGCTCATCTTTTGGGAGAGTTTTTTCTAGCTGCGATTTTAACCCTTCTCTCATTATCTTCCTACCTCTGTCATTGTTTCTCTCTGACCTGAGCTTCTCTTCTTTTACCCCTGTCTTAACTTCATATTTACCATAAAGTTCAGCCCCATCTTCTCTGCTTTTCTTTCTGTGTATTCACTTGCCTGGAGAAATCACATTTTTTCATGTAATAGCCTACCTTTTCTATGTCAAAGATTCTCCAACTCACATCCACAGTGCAAGTTTCTTTCCCAGCATATGTCCAACTGCCTATTATATAAATATTTACATATCCTGATATCACATCATTCTAACATGTCCAAAACAAATTCATCATTTCCTTTAGTTCTCTGTTTGCCAAGAAAAATCCAGGTTACGTCCTACGTCCAGTTCTTTCATTTTCACTAATAATACTGATCTTCTCTCAAGAAACAAGCCTCAAAAACTTTGAACATTTCTTTGTATTTTGCTGTGGTTAAGGGGGAGTCAAACTGCCTAGGTTCAAATCTTAGCTAGTCATCTACTAGCTTTGTGATCTGGGCAAGTTATTCCACCTCTCTATGCCTCAGTTACATTTGTAAAAATGGGGGTGATAATGATACCTGCCTCATAAGGGCAAACCGTTAATATATCATAAAGTGTTTAGCACAGTGTTTGTCATAAGCTAATTGTTGAGTAAATAATAGCTAACCAAAAAAACAAGCAACAAACCACCAGGGTATGGTTAACTTCAGGAAAAGCAATAAGAAAATATAATAACGAAACACTATGTGTGGTTCATAGTAAGTACATCACTGAATACGGACTTAACGAAAAGTTGTGAAATAGCAGGATAAAAAGAATGGAGGAGGGGAAGTATATATGCAGTTGGGAGTGTGTGTGTGTGTGTGTGTGTGTAAGAGAGAGAGAGAGAAAGAGAGAGAGAGATTCTGTGTCTGAGAGAGATGCTAAATCATCATCTTCCAGGATAGAAAGCCAATATGTAATACCTATAACAAAAAGGCCAGAAAGTAACAATACACATAAATTATTGAGAAATATAGAGGTAAGTACTAGGACTGGAGAAAACATTAAATTAAAAGACTAGAAGCAGGAATCAGGGTTGGGATAGGATATATCTGAGGGCTGCTCTTTGTTCCTTAAAACCTTATGTTTATGTATTACTCAGATAAAAATAAAATTTTAAAAAGTAATCTATTATATCATGGAATGTGTGCTTAGAGGTTATATAAATTCTAGGGAAATTGCTGATGCATAAACAACCTATTCCTTCTACATTTTAATTTCCCACACTATAACTTGTAGTCCATGTTAAATGTAAAAACTGATTTTAAAATGCTTAGAGAAATTTATGATAAATTTATAACCAAGGCTTTAAAAAGGTAGGAATATCTGAGTGACAGCTTACTCTGGGGCATATCTTGAAATGCAACCGTGACCTCTGAAAAATATTATTTATCACCTTCAGGAACAGAAAACCAGGTTGCAAGACTGTAAATCTGACCTACAATTTAACAAGAAGGGTTTCTTCAAGTGTGAATATTTATTCAAATGGTGGTCAGGCCCAAATTGGGTTTGGTAGTATTATTCAAAATAATTTTGGTTAAGAATCTCTTCCATTAAAGCATAACACTTGCCATTTTTTCTGGTTTATGTCTCCATCAGGTATCAGTGCCACCAACATACTTGGAACAGTATTTATAAGAACAAATTATTTGCAAAGATACTGAATTTCACAAATTAAAACTATGGCTTCAGCACAGTTTAAAAATCCTCTAAATATGTGCTGTTTCATAAATTTAGATGGATTTGTTATTCTTTCCTAAAAATGTGAAATCAATAAAATTGATGGTATTTTATGAAGGTGAGGAAATTCTAATTAATAAGTATTAGTAATTAATGGTTTAGAAGATGATTTGTTAGAATTGCTTAAACCCAATTTGATAGTAGGAGGACCAGAAGAGTCTTGAGAATGCCTTGGGGCTATTTCTGCTTTAAGGTATAGTTGGTTCCGGTAAGCTTTTGAATATCAATCATATCTCAGAATCATGAAAAACCCACTCTACTGTGGAGCCCAGAATGGGTGGGGTGGCTTTCTGAGGAGGATGTGAATCACTAGGATACTAAGGGAAGCTCTGGTTGGCAAAACAAAAAGTATCATTACCAAAGAATACTTAGGACCAGCTCTCAAAGTGTACATTTAAGCACTGGTAGCATTGGTTCTATATCTATCATATATTTAAGAGGAAAAAAATAAGTTAATCACAGGAACTATAGCATCCTAATATGTGAATACATTAAAATTACTTGAAGGAAAAAAAAAAAGTGAGTGCTTCTACAATCAATGCTCTAGTGCCTCCACAAGAAAGCCAACAGGCTATGGAAGGACTTTTCCACACTCAGGTTTCCAGGCATGCTGATAGGCATGTTTCTGGAGACTGCCATGAAAGAAATTTGTTTTCTAGGCTGTTTCCTGCCCCTAGTCTAAGAAATTGGGCTATGAAGTATCACAGTCAATTAAGAAATGTTACATACAGCTGCATTGTCTAAAAGTCACACCATCTTGATTCCTCATTCTTCCCTTTCTCAGTCAGCGAAACAGTATTAAAAGAACTTCAAATTTGCTTCTGTGATCTCCACATTAAAATCTGCATTTTTTCAACCATTGTGGAAAGTAGTGTGGTGATTCCTCAAAGAACTAAAAACAGAACTACCATTTGACCCAGCAATCCCTTTATTGGGTATATGGCCAAAGGAATAGAAATCATTTTACCATAAAGACACATGGATGCATGTTCACTGCAGCATTATTCACAATAGGAAAGATAAGGAATCAGCCTAAATGCCCATCAATGATAGACTGGATAAAGAAAATGTGGTACATATACACCATGGAATAGTATGCAGCCATAAAAAAGAATGAGATTATGTCATTTGCAGGAGCATGGATAGAGTTGGAAGCCAGTATCCTTAGCAAACTAACACAGAAACAGAAAACCAAACACCACATATTTTTACTTATAAGTCAGAGCTAAATAATGAGAACACATGGACAGAAAGAAGGAACAACAAATATTG